TTTTTTTTTTTTTTGGTGATACCTGGGATTGAACTCAGTTCCTTTTGCTTGCCAGGCAAGCACTTATTCAACTGAGCTATCTCCTGGACCCCTACCTCCTAAGAATCTTGTTTCTGTTGTTAAGAGGTTTAAGGATGACATCAAGAAGTATGCATGGCCACTGATTGTTTTCCTAGCTTCTATGGGGCCCAATAGAAATCCTTTCAGATTTTAAGCACATAGAAGACAGTTTGGGAGGATCTACCCATTCGCAGTAACTAGTAAGGTAGATATAAGTTTCTTGGTCAAGCATATGTTTGGGCACAGTCTATTTCTTTGACTCTATCAGTCTGCATTGAGGGGTTAGGGAGATAGCTCAGTGGTCTAAGCACCTGCCTGGCAAGCACAAGGACTTGAGTTTGATCCCTGGTACTGCATACTTTGCCAGCCCCAGAACCCTTGGTGTGCCAGGCCAGCTCTGAAACTGGGCATGGTGGTGCATGCCTGTCATTCCAGCACTGTGGAAGTCGAGACAGGAGGATCACTATGAGTCAACTGCATAGCAACACCCTGTATCAAACAAACAAACAAACAAATATTTCCATTGGTCTGCATTGAGATCATGCAGGTGGGTTCTCCAGACTGATACAAAAGAGAATAGATTTTTTTCCTTATAGGCCCCAATAATGCAATGCTGAAATTCATAAATTCTACTTGGCCTTTTCATCAAATCTTAATCTATTGTATGTTTATAATAGAGTAGTTCAGCCCAGGTAATCTATAAATAACAGAAGCATAAAACTCAATAAACGTTATCAACTGCTTTAGCTCATGTTCCTTAGAAAATAGTTTGACACTAAAACCTTATGTGGGAAGACATTCCTTGCAAGCACCAGGAAAGAGGAAAGGGGAGCAGTAGAGGAGAGAAAGTAAAAGGACATTGCTACACTAGAGAGGGCTAACAGGTCAGTGGCAGAGGCTTCATCCTGGCACTTCCCTCAGAGATTCTGGCCAGCTACCGATGGAACGTTGGCTTACAGGTCATCTTAGAGGGGACAGTGACTGCCCTACTGATGGAATTTGCCTTTTCTGCTAGTAATTTCTCTACCACCGCCACCAACTGAGGGTTCACATGGTGTCACACTTGTGGTAGTGTTGCTTTGAAATAAAGATCCATTTTATAGAAAAGACAGTGGGAACAGGACCACAGTATTTGCAGGTACCACCTACCCTGAACCTTATCAGAAGCAGCTGTCCTCACTGAATGGTGAAATGGGCTACTGACTCAGATAAGGCACCAACGGGGCCACAGCATCCTTCAGGTTGGAAGCCCTTGTGGTATGTATATTTTTATTGTTCTCATTAAAACTTGCTCCAACTTCCTTTGTAATTTCTAGTTCATTGCCTAGTTATTTAGAAATGTATTGCTTAAAGTCCAGATATCGTATGGGGATTTAAATTTGCTTTTCTTTTTCTATGTGATTCCTAGTTCGGCAAGAGATGCTCAGTCTTGGAATGCGAATACGAATTTATTTTAGGATCAAGTTTTAAGGTTAAGGTCTATAAAAGACATTTTCAAGTTTTGAAGAGCAGTGGTCTATGTATATAAATTAGGTCAAATTTACAAATCATACTTTCCACATCTTGTGTGTACCTGCTGATTATTTCCTTTAGTGATTACCTTAATCATGATGACATGCGATCTTGATTTATTATCATAGTTATTTTACCACTTTCTGGGCAATGGAGGAATCTTTTAGATCTTTAGTTCTATTTATAAACTCCCACCCTTAATTCTTTTTCTGTTTTAATTTTCACAAGACATTACTGTTTAAGCTAGACATTCATCTAGTTTTATTTACATATCTATGTTTTCCCGTAATACTCTTCATTTCTTTTTAAGTGACAGTATTATGCTTTTACCCAGCCTCATTTTCCTTTCACCTTAAGAACTTTTTCTATAATTTCTTTCAATGTAAGAGTGCTGAACACAATTTGTACCAGTTTTTCTTGTCTGAAAACATCTTTATTCATCTTTATTTCTTCAAGGTATCACCCATAGTTATAAAAATTCTGGATTTGGAATTATTTAAAGCATAATAAAGGCTTCCATTATTTTTTCCATTGATCTTCCTTAAGAAGTTAGCTTATGTTATTAATGTTGAACTTTAATTTTGTGCCCAAGATGCCTTTAAGATCTTCCCTTTGTCTCTTGCTTGCAGCATTTATGTGAAATTTTTCTAAATTGTGATTTTTAAAATTTAATCCTGTTTGGGCTAGCCAGATAGCTCAGTGGACTACAGCACCTGCTTAAGTAGGCTCAGCGACAGGGGTTCACCTGCCTTTGGGGCATGCTGAGATGGGGTATGGTGGCATGTGCCTGTAATCCTGGACCTTGGGAGGCTGAAAACAGGAAGATCACTATGAGTCCCATCTGTGTAGCGAGACTCTGTAGACCTCATACTAAATACATTTAAAAAAAATCAATCATGTTTATGATTAGCAGATCTCTTGAATCACTGAGTGTTCTGTCAGAAAATTCATGATGGGAACCTTATCTTGTTTCCGATCCATTTTCTCAGTAGTCTTTGTTTTGAAGTTTCATCAGCCAGTTTGTTATGCCAACCTTTTTCAGTCTGCCATGATTTTTAAAAGATTTTTTTCTGTACTTCAGTTTTGTTGTTTACTTATTTTTAAGGAAAAAGTCATCTAATTAGATTTTTACATACATAAATGCATTTATTTATTTATTTAGTACAGGGTCTCACTAGGCAGCTTGGACTTGTAATGATCCTCCTGTTTTCCAGGCATCCTTTTTCTAAGATTACTAAGAATACTACCTCCAGATCTTTGATGCAGGCAATGATCAAAACATTAACTCGCCACTGTCTTTTTTTTCAGAACCAGGGATTGAACTCAGGAACTTGCTCTTTCCAGTCAAGGGCTTATTTCACTGAGCTATCTCCCTGTTCCCTCTCCACTGTCTTGTTTGGGAAGAATTCAGAATCATTAAACTGCAAGTCATTTTGTACTTAAGCCTCGAAGGACAGCACTATCTAGTAAATTGTGAATAGGTATTATAGAAATACATGAGTAAGTATCTGTAAGGTGTTTAATAAATTTATAGATAAGTTTTTTGTTTGTTTTTAACAATATTGGGGAGGTGAGAGCATTATTGGCATTAACTGGACTGGGGCTAGGGATGCTTTATATCCTGTAATGCAGGGGAAAGACTGTGCTAAGGAAAATAGTTGTATCTTGTATGACCTTCATTCATCTTACTGAGACATTCATTTAAGTGATATACCTGCTGATAATGATCTGACACAATTCCCTGATACTCTTTTATGTTTTTTACATCTAAACACTGTTATGGCTTAGATGTAAAGTATCTCTCAAGTGTCACTTTTTTATGTATTTAGTACAGGGTCTACAGGATCTCACTACACACATGGGACTCATGGTGATCCTCCCACTTTCAGCCTCCCAAGGTCTGAGATTACAGGCACGCGCCACCACACCCATTCTCCCAAGTATCACTTTTGACAGGTGAGCCTCTCATAAGGTAATTGGAACATGGGGTGGGGGAGTCATAATCATCAGTGGATTAGCCCACTGATGAGCCCTAGTTCAGTGTGCTTTTAGGAGATGGGGCCTGGTTAAAGGAGGTAGTTGGTCACTTGCCACTTTGTGAAGCAATTCTGCAACTCCTCCTTGTAAGTGTCCTTAGTTGGGCTGTGGTAGCTATCCTGGTGTCCTGTATTGATTCAAAACCTTGATCTTTCCTAATTAGTTTGGCTTGAAGAAGAACCAGACATCATGTAGTGCCTGACACAGTGAATAAGGTGGCTGTGGACACACGGTCCTGTTTAGGAGCCTACCTTTCCATTGAATGGTATTTGGCAGCTGCATTCATCATGTATATTTTTTATGACACTTGGTAAAGACATGAAAGAAGACTTCCAGAATTGCTTCAGAAAGCGGCAAGAACGATAAGTGTGTTTAGAGCGAAAGGAGTATTTTGAGGATAATTAATGGCAATTTTTTAAAAATCATAATTCACTTTTGTTATTTAAGCATTCAGGGCAGCCAACTAGCTCACTGGATTAAAACACCTGCAAGCAGGGCCAGGTTCTGGCCTGCTGTGCCGGCTCCCCTTCCCTGGGGCGCCCTGAGGCAGTTGAGACTGAGCGTGTTGGCACGCGCCTGTAATCCCAGCTCTTGGGAGGCTGTAAAACAGGCCTATTGCTACGAGTCTGATCTAGTAGTGAGACCCTGAACACCCTGTAGACCCTTCCCTAAAAAAATTTAGGCATTCACCATATATTTCACTTACACCTCATAAATTACCTCCCCTTTATCTCTTTTTTATATTGACTGGAACATTGCTGTGTTGATTTAAGACTTATACTCATGTTACATCCTATTACCAATTTTTTAGCCCAATCTAATTATAATTTCTTTTCTGGGTTTCTGTTATGAAAAGACAGGTCTAGAGCCTGACAGGTTGTAATCAGGGAATCACTATATTTGTTAAGATTAATTTTAACATCCAGCACAAAAACGTGTGTATACTACTTTTTCTTGTTATTTTAAAAGTTACTGCTGTTACAGATAACGGGGATTTTAGACTCTTAATCAGTGTAGATCATCTCTGTGCTAGGAATTCCGGCGTCTCCATCAAGCGGAACCCTTGGGCTATCCATGTTGATATTTCACCCGGAACTTCGCTGTGGTGACACCGGTTTCCGGCGGGCTCTTTAGAGCGCTGAACTGCGTCGGGCCAAAGGACCATGCGAGGGCCAGAGGCGGGCCCCGGCACCACCATGGAAGGGGACGTGCTGGACACGCTGGAGGCGCTGGGGTGAGGGCTCCTGGGGACCCTTTCCGCGGAGAGCGTGGTGTGTTCGCCGTCTGGCCTCGGCAGCCGCCGCCGGCCGGGCCTCGGGGAGGCCTGGGCGGCTCCGCGCGGGCCTCCCGCTCGCTCCTCGGCCTGGTTCTTTCTGGCGCCGACGGAGTTAAGCGGGGCGGGAGAAGATCGTGTGCGGTGGGCGGGCGGAGAGCGGGCGCGGGCAGTCGTGCTCGTGCCTCGCAGCCCCGCGGCCGGCCGGGACGTCCTGGCGGGGTCGCTGGGCTCCGCGCCGTGTTGGGCTGCGCTGCGCGGGCGGCTGGGAGGAGGGAGAGAGCGAGGCGATGCTGGAGCCCGAGCTGCGGCGCCCGCCCCCAGCGGCGATTGGGGGGTCGGGGCGAGCCGCCCTTGCTGGTAGTGGAAAGTGTTTTAGTTCCCAGCGAATCTGTACGGAACTTCCATGTTTATTTGCGTGCTAGGTACAAGAAGACAGTTTCCGGGTTATTATTAGTTTATATAATCGCGGGAGCTGCACAGAGTACGGTCTGCTCGGTTGACAAGTCAGGGCGCTCGGCGTTGTGACAACTGCGGTGGGGGGGCTGCATAGACGCACCAACACTCTCTCCACCTCAGCCTCATCTTTTTTTTTTTTTTTTTTCCCACAGCCCTTGGCCCATGCTAACTTATCTTGCCCTGCCCATTTATTGGTCCCCAGAACTTCACTCTTGCTGTTTTTCGCACCCCCTCCAGTCCCTGGAAAACAAGTGCCTTATCTGTGTTGTTAATTGGTATTTTTCTCAGCAGCGCTCTAGCATCACGTTAAGTGGTGGTTGAATGAATGAGCAAATTAGTGACGAAGAGGTCAAAGGAGACTGCAGGGAACTGTGCGTTGAGCCAGAGAGTTGGGAGTCAGTTAAGCGAAGCATCAACTGCAAATTGTTTGCCCTGCTGTCCCCCAGAGTTTCTTAATAGGACAGCAGTTCCTTTGCAATGCTGCTGTGAAGTATGAATCTCCTCCCTTTTAAACAAACAAAACTGCGTTTGCTACTCATATGAACATTTCTTAGGTGCATTGTGGTAATGCCTACTTTTCATTGACAGTGAACCGGTGCTTTGTGCTTAGTAGATCCTTAATAAATATTACGTGAAAGAACTGAGGTAGGGGATGATTTAAAGGAAGTTCTGTGAAATCCCTTGGAAATTCTCTGTTGATTTGATGAAATAAGTAGCCATGGCAAGAAGTTAACGATATGAAGTGTTTAGACTCCAGTGTGTCCTCTCAAAATGAAATTGTGTAAATTGTATTTCTAAAGATTATGATTCAGGGGCTGGGGAGATGGCTCAGTGGAATAAGCTCTTCCCTGGCAAGCGCAAGTGCCTGAGTTCAATCCCCGGTTCCACCAAAACAAAACAAAAAACCCCACAAGATTATGATTCATATTGAATAGAGGGATTTGTCCTAATAGTGTTTGTAAGTAGAATATCAAGTCTGCATCTTGTACAGCAATTAACCACTAGGAAGAATGTATGCAATGTTTTAATTATTGAGACTGTCGTACCAATTTGGGTTGAAACTGTCTCATTGCTATTTGTTTCTCAATAAAATTATGGAAAAAAAAAGATTATGATTCAGGCAGTCTGCAGTATATATCAGACATGAACATTTTTCACAAGCTCCATACATGATTCTGCTGCATGACCAGACCTACTGTCATGATCCACTGTCCCACGAAATCATGTACTATTGGAAGTAAAGAGACGGACCGGGGTTCAATCCCCAGCATGCAAAAACAAAAACAAAACCCCTGCTTTCTGCCTCTTCTCATTTTTTGACTTAATGCTTCATATTACAGTATTTTCAAAAAAGAAGTTTGCCATACTCTTGAATTTTATAAAATAAATTTATTTTCATGTTTTTCATTATGTGAGGTAAAACAATTGTACACTATTTTTTTTCCTTGCATACAGATTTATTCAAGTTTGCAAACATTAAATCATCATTATATTAGAATGACAAGCATGACAAAATTAATACACCGAAAGAGGTTCAGGGAAATATAAAATCTAAAATGTATTGAATTAAGTTTTAAATTGAACCCATACAAGCTTAAATTCAGTGAAAACCAACATTGCATACTTTTTAATCAATTATATCATAATCATCTCCCTAAATCCTTTAATTTACCAAGAAATCCCACCTAAAAAGTTTTCTAAGGTCAGCCATAAAATACCATTGAAATGTAAATTGAATCTAAACTTCCACTAAATCCATCAAATACCACCATACTGCAATTCACCAAGTCACTTTACATGAGTGAATCTTGAAAGCGTCCTCAGTGCTCATTATTGTTATAATTAAGAACCATATTAGAGTGAAAATAAAATGACATAATCATTTTGAATAATTATAGATCTAAAATCTTTAAAATAACTTACCATGCAAGCTACATGATACCAGGCTTATTTATAACCTTTTACGTAATTTAGACCTAATTTCCAAAGCTAATATGTGTTTAAGAGTAACAGTCTGGCCTTTTTAAACATTTTTTTTTTGTTTATTTTAGACAATTTTTATTGTTTAAGTTAATTTTTATTATTAAGTTTGTTTTTTTTTCTTTTCAAAGTTTTATTGATAAACATATAGCAATGAGACAGTTTCAAATCAAATCGAAAGTACAGTTTCAACAAAT